AGAAACGGAGACCATAGACAGCTTTCTGCTGACCTTAATCCTCAATCTTTGCACATTGAAAATACATCACTGACCCTAGCTGAGGGCCAGATAAATTCTTGTAGATTTGGCTCACGGGCCATAGATTGGAGACCCCTGCAATAGTCCTTAGTCCCTGGTCCATCTTGGAAGGGAGCAAGAGAGGTTGGCTACATTCCTACATACAGTGGCACCATGGACAACAAACACAGCCACCCTCTAAAAAAAAGAAGGATCACGGCAGCAAAAAAAAAAGGGGATTTGGAGTTTTGAAAGAGGATGAAAGTAATAGAAGGGACTTTTTTTTTCAGTTAAGAATACATATGTAGTACTACCCCCTTAGAGCTTAGAGTTGCTGAGTTTTGGGTCCCCCTACAGCTCTGCACAGCCAGGTATTTTCTTCTATACTTTGAACTCTGAGTCAGTAAACAGTCATTGAGCTTGGTTTTGTGATTTTATTAGGGGTTAATAACTTGGATGGGGTTGAGGGGTGTATGGGATGCCCAAGAAAACTGTAAACTTGAGGACAAACTGCTTAGCAACTAGGTACAAATGTGGACAAAAAGGTCTCTCCTTTAATAGCATTCCAGCTCCCTGGTGTACCTCCTCAGACCCCAGATGAATCATCCTCTTCACCCAGCTGCACTGAGGGCCCAGAAACAGTCAATTTAGCACAGTCTTGGATGAGAAGCTATTTGGGTTTCCCTCCTGACTGCCCTCTCCCCTTGCCCGGCCCGGGGGTTGTAAGAGTACTCACACTGTCCTTCCTGATAGCTCCATGGGCTGGTGGCTGCCTTTAGGCCTTTTGCTGGCCTGGCTCCTTCCCTGCTGCTCAGGATATCCTCCCTTGAAGATGGTGTTACAGTGGAGATCCTCCTCTCCAGCAAGTGCCTGTAGATAGGCCCCTTTCCAGACTCCACACTCCAGCCTCTCACCCCATCTTCCACCCGACACTGCTCCCTTCCACCCAGGCTTGGTGATTCTTAAGTGTTGCCTTGGTCACCATGGCCAGCCTCCTGCCAGGTGATAGGCTAAGGTCCCTCAAATGTGCAGATCTGAGCTTCCTCCCTTTCTCCATCCCTCTTCCAGAAAGCTCTCAGGTTTCTGGAGAGGTGGGATTGCTCCAGAAGCTTTGACCTTCAGAACCTCACTTGTCCTGAGATGAACTCCTGCCTCACTCACAGGCTGACTCATCCCCAGGCTGCTACTCAGCCTCTGCCTAAAAAGAGAGAAAAAAAAAAGCTAACTAAGATAGAGGGCGTTACACATACCTGAATAGAATTGTTTTCTTTAAATAAGAGTTAAATGTCACTTTAACCTATAGTATTGTCCTAGAACCCGGAAGGAGCCAGTGCCAGTGAAGGACATCAGGCCATTGAAGAAGAAAAGGTAAGAATCACAAACATTAGTTCTGCTTTAAAGTCTAACTCCAGAGTAACCCCCCTTTGTCAGAGCTTTTGATTACCTGAAGCCTCGGTCATGTGATCATCCAACGTTGGGTATTTCTTCCATTTGTCCACATCACTGCCTGTGTGCCTTGTAGACAATTCTCATTGGCTGGCCAGCAGTGGGGTCCTCTTAGGGTCCAGTAGAGATCTGACATCGGGTTGAAGAGATTAACATGCAGTGCTGGAATAGCAGTTCCCATTGGCTTAAATGGCGTCAGCAAGGGACCTGGATAGGGTCTCAGGTGAGTATAACTGACTTCACCAAGTGAAGAAAAGTTATCAGATGGCAGGATGGGTGGTAAAAACTACATTTTGAGTGAAGTTCATTTTTAAACATTATTTGGCAGTGCTGCGCTGAGCATCCTCTGTCACCAAGAAATCAGGCAAGCCTTCCATAGGATTCCACTTCAGCAGAGAATGTTCTTCACAAATGTGTGCAATGTTTGCTTTTTACACATCATTTCATTTGGTATTTGGTCTGTCTGGCTACCAGTGGACAGTCTGGTAACTAATGAGGCCTAGTGGTTACCCTTGTTTTCATTCTGTGGGCTGTGGAACTACAAAAACAACCCTCACCTCCTTCCACGTGTTGTTCCATTGCTGGGCGAACGAGCAATGTTACACCCTTACTGACAAAAACGCTGCAAAATATATGTCACAACGAGGGATCAACATATGGAAACAGGTACAGTAAGTACTGTTCTACACTGTTTACCCATTATGTCAGTGTCAATAGGGGCCATGCCTTTGTCAGTGTTATTAAGGGCCATGTCAGACAGAAGACACATTGCACACAGTAGAATCACCTAGGTGAGGGAACTGCTTCCCTTAACTAAAGCGTATCTAAACCCAAAAGCAAGAATTTAATACTGTATATTGCAGCTTACCAACCCTTAAAACAGAACTAAAGTCCATAACACTCACCTCTGCGCCAAAAATCAACATTAGTGAGGTTGCTGGCCAACACTGATGCCTTCTCCCCACCTTCTTCCAGGTCCTGTTTGGATCACGTAACTCCCATGTATATGCTGGCGTTCAGTTATTTCCGCACACATGCAAGTACATTTATTTTATTTCAGTAAAGACATTGCAAGTCTCTTCTGCAATAAAGAGCCTGCCTGCTCACATTTTTTTGAAATTTAGGCTTTAGTTCTACCTTATGCAGTGGCTTCATTGGTTTTCTTTTTTAAACCGGAGTTCCACCTGAAAAAAAAAAAATAAAAGTCAGCAGCTACAGAAACTGTAGCTGCTGACTTTTAAAATACAGACACCTTGGGTGACTACTTAGCTCATTTTGAGCTATTTGGGAACCTTGGGATCATTCTCCCTTTGGTAGAATTTCTTCCTCTCCCTCTCTTCCCCCCCCATCCCTTACTTAGCTCAGACATTTCTTTACTTACCAAGCCTCTCACAACTACTGTAACCCAGCAATGTGCAGGTTTATGTCGTTTTGTGCTTTGTACTGTACAGTGTACCATGCAGTTTAACATCCACAATCAATAGAAAAGAGAACAGAAACAAAAAAATATATGAACATAATTAGACAATTATGTTCATATATTTTTTTGTTTCTGTTCTCTTTTCTATTGATTGTGGATTTCTTTTACTGCAATGTTCAGACCTAAAGTGTTGTTGTCACTTTGTTCTGAAAAAATGGCTTCGGCCTTTAATAAAAATTTACAATTTAAAAAAAAAATACAGACACTTACCTGTCGCTCGGTCCAGCGGTGTCCTCACCACGGCTGGTTTGATCGGCCGTCTTCTCTCCCTGGCGCCGACATCTTCAGTGTGGGCACTCGGCTGTGACAGCTTGCGGCTTCACAGCCGGGTGCCCACTGCGCATACGCGGAAAGCACTGCACTTTGTGAACGGCCCCGTAGTGTTCTGGGACCTGTCACGTGTCCCAGAACACTACGGGGAGGGAGAGGGGGAGGACAACTTCTGCTTCCAATCGCCTAGGCGATCGCAGCGGAAGTGGGAGCGGGTACCTGTCAAATTCGGGTACCTGCTCTCCTAAAGTGCCAATCCTTAATGGGGAGCGGGGAACAAAGGCTTAAAGCGGAACTTCCCCTTTTGGGTGGAGCTGCGCTTTAAGGACCTGCTCACACCATACATGCAGAAAAACTGATGGGGACTGACGTACAGATTTCACTTGCAGATACATCAGTTTTTTATCAGTTATCATGCACACTACTATGAGTTTTATTCACGTTGCAGATTCCTTAGCATAAAAAAATATGCACGTGCTACTAGTAATGTGATGTGAACAGGTCACATAGAAAACAAATGATTTCATTGTGCCCTTGCAGAATGTGTGCAGAGAAACTGACGTCTCTGCACTTGGTGTGAAGGAGCTCTAAGTCTTCTTACTTTATTTTCACCTGGTGATCTGGTCCGTTAGTCCGTTAATTATCAACTTCTTTAAAGTGGAGGTTTAAAAAAAACAGTTCGATTCCCGGCATGCCGGGAATACTAACTGTCACATTTGCTTGTGTTCTCATCCAAACTGTCAACAAATAAAATGGCTGATGTCATAACTGATGACATGTGCAGCATCATGACAATTGCAGATCAAACAGAGGCTAAGATGGCAGCTTCCTTGGCTGAACAGAATAGGAGGGTTTAGTTTTGCTTTAACAGACCAAACTGTCCAGCAAAAGTGGCAGTTAGAGTGTTGAGACAAGTCATTTAACACTGACAGGGATGCTTACAATGGTCAGCTTTTATTCATTTATGTGAAACCTTTATCCCAAAGAGAAAATATCAATAAACCGTTGCAACAACTGGTTAAAAAGTGTTAACTGGAATTCAGCTTTAATTTGTTGGTCTATCTAAATGTTCTTTTGCATCTATAGGGTCATCATATATCATGTTACAATCTGACTGCACAATCCATGTGCAATCAACCTTAGATTTACCAAAACTATGTAATACGAAGACCTACCAAATCTGTTCAGTCAATCTGTATCCAATCAGGCAGGCCCTTGAATGACTTAGTTGTTCGTAGATATACAGGACATTTTACAGCCAGATTGCAACATGTGCGATGAGGTCTACACTACTCTCTCCCCAGATTGTCAAGTGTGATCCCATTGCTCCTCCATTCAGAGTGGAGCCACCCTAAAGCCGGCCATGGCCATAGATGGGAAGATGGGATAGCAGGGAATTGCCAAGATTTGACTATCTATGGGCAGGCTGATTGTACCCAATTCAATTGTTGTACTGCTTGGGTACAACCAGCCTGTCAGAAATTTCATGTGATTATTGCCAGTGTCTATAGCTGCTAGCAGTAATCACTGTGGTCTCCCGGAAGGGACCCTGCACACACACCCCCCTCCCCTTCTCCACAATAGCTGCAGGAGGTGTTGATGGGGGAATCAAGCAATTTTCTTTCCTGCAACCAAGAAGATAGCATCCAGCTTTAGATAAGAAGTGTGTTACTGGCCAGATCACCAGGTGAAAGTAAAGGGAAACAAGCCTTAAAAAAAGCAAACTAATGCAGGCCATAAATGGGTCAAAAATCGGCCGATGTTTCGGCCGAAAATAAAATCGGGGCCGATTTTCGGGTTGTTAGTGGGCTAAATGTTCGGCCGTTTTTCGGTATTTTGGCAATTTTTTTTATCGGTAAAGTTGGAAAAAAATCGGCCCGAGGATGGAGAAGAGGATGATGAAGAAGAAAAGGATGAAGAAGAGGATGAAGAAGAAGAAGAGGATGAAGAAGAAGAAGAGGATGAAGAAGAAGAGGATGAAGAAGAAGAAGAAGAGGATGAAGAAGAAGAGGATGAAGAAGAAGAAGAAGAGGATGATGAAGAGGAAGAAGAAGAAGAAGAAGAGGATGATGAAGAAGAAGAAGAGGATGAAGAAGATGAAGAAGAAGAAGCAGAAGAAGAGGAGGATGAAGAAGAAGATGAAGAAGAGGATGATGAAGAAGAGGATGATGAAGAAGAGGATGAAGAAGAAGAGGATGAAGAAGAGGATGAAGAAGAAGAGGATGAAGAAGAAGAGGATGAAGAAGAAGAGGATGAAGAAGAAGATGAAGAAGAAGAAGAGGATGAAGAAGAAGAGGATGATGAAGAAGAAGAGGATGAAGAAGAAGAAGAGGATGAAGAATAAGAGGAAGATGAAGAAGAGGATGAAGAAGATGAAGAAGAGGATGAAGAAGAAGAAGAGGAAGAAGAAGAAGAGGATGAAGAAGAATAGGAATTCCAGTCCAGTTTCTTTGACAGTTCCTTGACATTTATAGCGGTTGCAACAATGTATCTATTTGTTTCCGAAAAAAAACATCTGTATCCTAAATGGATACAAATAGATACATTGTTGCAAACGCTATAAATGTCAAGGAACTGTCAAAGGAATAGTGGAGCTCTCTGCAGGGACACTTTTTGCCGGCTGTAGACGGGATGAAAATCGGCCAATTTTTTTTACCGTTGCTGGTAACGTCGGCCGCTTGAACGACCGATTTTTTGTTTTTTTAAAAGAAAAATCGGCCGATTTTCGACCCGTCTATGGCCTGCATAATGTAGCCACCACATCTACTGACAAGATTGCTCATCTGAAATCAGTCTTACACAGAGCAGTTTCCTTTCCATTACTCGCATCCTTCTAGAAATGCTAGTCACTGAAAAAAGGAAATCCGACCATCAAAGTCAGAAGTCCTCTTCTGCATACTTGTTCCGTGTCAGTGGCTTAAAGCACTGAAGTCAGCATGGCAGCCAAGCAATTCACATTTTTCAAAGAGACCATAAATAGCCGCATCCATTTTTGCTCTCATGACAACTTTCCAAGTGCTTGTTTTTGGTTCCTTTCATCTCAAGCTGGCCTACAGCTTTACAAATTTTCATCTTCAGAGCATTCATTCAGTTTTCTAAGAGTTAAAAAAGGACAGTTTGAGAATCAGTTTCGACCAAACCAAGCGAAAAGGTTTGAAGGACAAGGTTGGAAAATTTTTGTCAAATCAAACTAGGTAAAACAAACTTCTAATTGTTGAATTGGCTCCTGGACCAGAAAAATCAAAAATGGTCTTGTGTGCATGCACCTGCCAAATTCTATGGCAGATTGCTTTTGGACAAGACTGAATGCTGTACTGTTCAACCTGCACAGGGTCCTAAATGCATGTACCACTCAGTATAGTGTTCAGCCCTGTCCAGCCCCAGTCTGCTATAGACTTTTGCAGGCCATAGACGGGACATTTATCGGCCGAATTGTCGGCCGAACGAATAATCGGCTGATATTCACACCGTTAGTGAGGCAATGTCGTCGGCCGATTTTCGCGGTTCTTCTCGTTTCTTTGTATCGGCCATGCTGAAAAATCTACGAAAAACGTCCGTTTTACGTAAGCATTGGTGGCAGCAACGGCCGATGTTTCGTTTATCAGGCGACAATTCGGCCGATAAACGTCCCGTCTATGACCTACATTAGACAGACTGCCTGTAGTGGGACCAGACACTGCCCATGTCCCTCCTGGGCCCATTATAACTCCAGGAGGGACTCACTGCCCCTAGGTGGCCCCCTGTGCAAGAGATCTAAATGTATTATTGTGATTCTATTTTTTAAAAAAATGTTGCGACCCCTGAAGGCAAATCATTGTCCCTCTACAAAGTGATTCTCTTTTTTTGGCATTTTTAGCCCATCATTCTGTGCAATAAACATTATCCCAGGCATGTACAGAACATTATCAAACCGAACTGAGAATATTTATAGAAACTGCAGCACAGCTGAATGTGAAAAACGGTAATATTGATCATTGTAACCAATGTGATTCTGTCCTATTTTAAATACAGAATAGGGTAGGAACCCACTATTGTTCTTTTGCTATGGATAATCCTGACTTCCTACATAGCTTTCATTTTCTTTCATGTTAGTCGTCTGATGCATGTAGTCACCCTATTATTATGGAGACTCATACAACTTGTAGGACTTCCTATGTTTGCATATTAGGTTTTATTAACAAGGTGTGTCATATTATCAGGAAAACACAATGCGGTTTAAGGCTTCATGCACGCAGCCATACATGCTCGGGACAGTGTGCATCCCCCCTGAAGACCTGCGGCTGTGTGCTGGGGTTTGTGTAAAACACGCACTCTGACTTAGCCCTCACGCACACTGGGGGCGTTTTGATAATGCTGGAAACGTTAGCTGTGTAAAGTCATGTTAAATACGTGAGTTTTTCAGCTTTTTTTAGTGTTTTTTCAGTAGCGTTTAGCAGCCTTTTGCCACAATTAGATGCATTTTTCCACTGTGTTTTTTTTACCCCCACAATTTTTTTTTAGGTCAAAAAGACATCCAAAAATGCTGATTTACGATGTTATACCGTGATTTACTGCATTTGCCATGTTTTTCAGCGTTAGAGCATTTTTACAGCTAAAAAACTCCTCTAGAAACCCACTAGTCCTGGGTTTTTTTTTTCCAGTCAAAAAACATTGATTTCTTTATTTCAGGTACTTATATAGCACTGTCAATTTATGCAGCGCTTTACATATATATATTGTACATTCACATCAGTCCCTAACCCTCAAGGGTTGTACAATCTAAGGTCCCTGACCTACATTCATATACTAGGGCCAATTTAGACAGGATCCAATTAACCTAACAGCATGTCTTTGGAGTGTGGGAGGAAACCGGAGTACCCAGAGGAAACCCACACAGACACAGGGAGAACATGCAAACTCCAGGCAGGTGGTGCTGTGGTTTAGATTCGAACCAACGACCCTAGTACTGCAAGGTGGAAGTGCTAACCATTTAGCCACTGTGCTGCCCATGATTACAGTCTATGTGTGCATGGACACATAGGATAACATGCTGGGGGGTTTACTAGCTGTGGAAAAAATGTCAAAAGCCAAAAACAGCCGCTGTAAAAAAACGTCACGTGTGCATGAGGACTTATGCTCCAAGCACACACGAGGAGCATACGTCAGATGCAGCCACCCCTTCCCTTTCATCTCAATCGACAGCTGTATGTGGTGGCAGCAGGTCCCAAAGGAGGCATGATGCCGGCTCTGCATGCTGTACAGCCCTGAAGCCTAAGAAACAAATTTCTGGTGGAAGGTTTCTACATGAATATACAGTGCTCAGCATAAATGGCTTCATCCCAACAGATTTGTCAGAAAACCTTTACTTTCCTTTCAGAATCAACATTTTCTATGGGACACTATACTACAAAATACTCCCACAAATGTGGGCCATTGATTGCAAACAAGATTTGTTCATTTGCACACATAAAAAAGTATTTTTCCTAACAAATTAATTCAAGACCATGTTGCAAAAATAAATACACCCCAATTAAAGTTTTAGGAGCAAAGCTAAATTTTAGACAACAAAATTGTGATTAACATGAAATCAACTACAGGTGAATCTAATTGTTCATTAAACAGGTGTAGAGCAGACAGTTGATTATAAAAGGGCATTACTTAACAAAGAAAACCCCTTCCCATTTCCTGTTGTCTGCAATGGCACCACATAGAAGAGAAATGTCACAAGGCCTGTTAAAGAAAATAATTTCTTCACACAAGAAAGGTGAAGGCTACAAGATCAGCAAAGCTTTACTTATCAGTCAGAATATTGTAACAAAATTGATACAAAAATTTAACAAAGATGGAACTGCAACCATCACACAGAGACGTACAGGACGTCCACGGATGTTAACGCCTTGGCAGGAGCGTCTTCTAATGAGAAGGGTTGAAGAAAATCGCCATGCAAGTTCAATGCAGTTAGCTAAAGAAGTAGAAAGCCAAACTGGGGTGATTGTTTATCATGATACAATATGGCGTACACTGCAGAGGAATGGCATGCATAGGTGTTGTCCACGAAGGAAGCCTCTCCTAAAGCCCAAACACAAAAAAACCTGCCTAGAATTTGCCAGGGCCCATACTGAAAAGGAAGAAGTCTACTGGGACTCTGTACTCTAGAGTGATGAGGCCAAGATAATGTTTTTGGAACTGACGGCTTCAAAACTGTATAGCGTTGCAAAGGTGAGGAGTAAAAAGAGAAATGCATGGTGCGTACAGTAACACATGGTGGTGGCAGTGTCCTTCTGTGGGCCTGAATGAGTGCTATTGGTGTCAGGGAGCTGAATTTCATTGATAGTGTTATGAATTCACAGATGTACAGCTTTATATTGAAAGAGAAGATGCTACCATCACTCCGTGCCCTTGGTCATCGTGCACCTTTCCAACATGACAATGATCCAAAACACACATCTAAGGCCACTGTTGCATTTCTGAAGAAGAACAGCGTGAAAGTGATTCAGTGGCCAAGAATGTCTCCTGATCTGAACCCAATCGAACCCTTCTGAAGAGACAAGTTGAGCATCACTCTCCATTCAGCATGAAGGCTCTGAAAGAGGTTGTTCTTGAAGAATGGAAAAAGAGAGGTGCTGCAGTAAGTCGCTAAAATGTTCATTCCATGTTTGGAAGAGTTGGTGTTGTCCTTACAGATCATGGGGGCCGTACAAAATACTAGATGGAGTAGTTTTTGTTGTGGGGTGTATTCATTTTTGCATCAACTAATTTGAGTTAAACTGAAGATTTTGAAATTTAAGTTATATTATTAACTTTACTTCCATGTAATGAGCTAAACAAATGTTCTATAAAACTCACTTTTACAGACATTTTGGAAATTGTTCTTGTTTTCATTGAGATATTGATTAAAATCTCACTTTTGAAAAGGGGTGTAGTCATTAATGCTGAGCACTGTATGTGAAAATTCTCATAAAAAGAGTACCATTTATCTTTGCACACATTCTTATTTCCTAATGTGTCCCGTTTGTACTGAGGTCCATCACCTTTGATTCTTTGCCCTACACAGAGTAATTGTACAAGTTAACATTTCACAGTCATTAGGTACATTCTGTCAGCTATAGAGTTGTTGGGGCCAAAGTACAAACTGCTCATTACTGTATATGGAGGCAAAGTGCAGGTTATTGTTTGTGAGATTCACAGAAACAAGGGCAAGTAAACCTTGTGCTCTGCACTTGAACATACATTGTATGTCATGACACATAAAGCTGGGTGATTTTTTTTATATCTTGGCCTACCACTGTTCTAGATTCTAGGTTCCATTTCTCTGAATCCCCATTTCTCAACCTTTTCTCAGTTGTGGAACCCTGTAAAAGTCTGCAAAATCTCGAGGCACGCCAGTCTAAAATGTAAAATCAATGAGACTTGAGCCTGGCATGATGTATACAACTGCCTT